ACGAACCAAGACGTCACATTCCTATTGAAACTATGAACAAGGAAAACTTGCGCGGAGACATTCTTTTCACTTTGCGATCTCATACCTCAGATCTAATGAGACGAGATCCTATAGGGTATGTATGCATCACGATTTACATAGGACATCGTACCATGGAAGACCAACTAAACTTTTTCACGGGTCACGTTAAATATATTGCTTTACCATGAGCGAATAGTTCCAAGTGCACGATGTTTGGTGTGCTCCGGGAACGATGCGATGGGCGCCGCCAAAGTTGAGACTGGGCTATGGAGCGCGCTCTTCGCAGCCATGTGCAGATTCAGGTAAAGGCTACTGCATGATGAAGCAGCATTACCCGTAATATCGATCCAAATGTCTCCCCTCAACGTGACGTGGATTACGTATATCGGTGAGGCGCTACCTCGCTTCAGGCTTGCTCCACGTTGCGTGCGCAACTCTGGCTTGGTGTGGCAACAAGAACAACGAAGCCTGTGCCACGTTGTTTTAAACGCCACGTCGCGCCAAACGATGCGTCCGCAACGTAGTGCAAGCCTGAAGCGAAGCGTCGCCTCACCAAACTACGTAATCCACTTCATACTGAGGGCAGACATATGAGTTGATATCGAGGGTAGTTGGGCAGGTACGAACGCGACTTGCGTATCTTCACCGCTATAAATCATGCGCCTCATGCGCTGGGTGCAAGCGAAATAGACATACCCTTTGAATCAACGAGGTTGGCGGCTGGAAGGCGGGGTTTCGAGGTCTAATCAAAGCTAGGGAATGATCAGAGAGTACGCTTGCGAGAAAGACGCAGACTGCTTCGGGGTGTAAGCAGCCGCCTTCTAGCCGCCAATACTGTTGAATCAAAGGGTACAATAAATTAGCTTCAACAACTCCAAGAAATCAATGGAGCATTGAAGGTGTGAGCAAAGTACATCGATCTAAGAATGCGCTGAAGAAAGTATGGGCCTTTGTATAACTGACGAGGAATTACGGTGCGAGCTTTGTACCCACCCAAACATAACAAAAGGTAAAGAAGTCAAACGAAGTAATCACTTTGGTGCCAGCTCAGTCACTTCAAGTATAAGGCTTATCAACTGCAGTGTCGAATGCACAGCATCTCCACTCCCGCAGGCCGCGTCGCCTGGACTCTGAACCTCTTTCGCGAACATGCTTTTTGATCACGTTCCCACCGCGAATGTGGGAAAGGCGGGGCCTCATTCGATTGGCTATGAGGAAGGGTCCCGCGTGGGAGTTGAACTGGAGCACCCACACCGCATTTGTTAAGCCCTGTATATGAAGCTATCATACGCTGAAAAAAAATTCGAATAGAGACGAATACCAATAAATGAGGTTGTCGAAACTGCCGCGATGCGCTTGTCCGCCGCCATTGTCAGGAATTTGTGATTGACCTATACGAGAAAGCGCAGGTCGTCGAACGTGACAACCTGCTAAATGCTATCATCTAAATTCGCAAAATTGTGATACGCAAGTGGAAGATGCCTGCATCAAACAGAGACCCATCTAGAAGTACACAAGCATGAAGGCTCAGTTGAAAGGAGGAAAATCGGAAGCGCATGCTGTCCATGCCAGGAAATCGGTGCATTTAACCATCTGGATGCTTTTCTGCATGTAAGTATGTAAGCTTGCTGTTTCTCAACAGGATTCTGCAGGACGGTGGCAGATGGGACCGTAAAACAAAATCTACCTTTGACAGAGCCAGTCGTATAGGTTGTCCATTTAAAGCGCTTATCGCCTACTACTGTTGTTATCATTGCTACTTGGGTTCTGAGAAAGAGGAGTGGAGAGGTTTTGAAAACACACTACGATATAATGATTAAATATGAAGTGTCTTACATGAATTAGAGTCATATTGTCACATGCGCGTTGCAAATTTCTCACAAGGAAATGGTCAGAATTCGGAGCGGCCAATCTAAGCAAGCTGCATAGCATTAGATGCAGCATGAAACGCTGACTCGAAATCTGTCTTCCTTATCTGCAGGATACTTTTGTGGACGAAAGCCATTGAATGCCATCATTTTGCTAACAACGGAAGGACCCTCGGTCGAAGTGGGGTCCGCAGATGATGTATATCACTGTGCTGGTCTTGGAGCACTAATACCAAATCCATGTTCTTTAGCTGCTCGGTGATCTTCTGGGAAAAGTTGGGAGTGATGGTTTCCCAGGATAACAACGGATCGCTTAAAGGCAGTGTCCAAGCAAAAAGTCGATTTCGAGATTTTGTGCTTACCTGGACCTATTCGCTATGCTGAATCCAAAAATCAACACTGGAGAGCGCGAAAACAGCGAAAAAAGGCTCTAACGGAGGAGGGAAATTGCAGGTGGGCGGGGCTGTTCACATAGTGGCGTCACCCTCCCAGCTTCAGGAGCGATCTTCTCGTCTCCGCTAGTCGCCCTAACATCACCACCAGCCAACTACAAACGCATGAGATAAAATTGGAACCGAGAAGATCGCTCCTAAAGCCTGGGAGAGCGACGTCACGGTGTGAACGGCCCCGCCCACCTGCAATTTTCCTCCTACGTTAGAGCCTTTTTTGGCGTTTTCGCGCTCTCCAGTGTTGATTTTCGGATTCAGCATAGCGAATAGGCCCAAGTAAGCACAAAATCTCGAAATCGACTTTTTGCTTGGACACTGCCTTTAAAGGCAGGTCGGCAAATCCTCGACCTTTGGTTTTTTCGCTTACCTGAGGTGATTCGACGCCCAATTCTTAGAGCGCGAAAATGGCGAAAACCAGCATCTCCCAAGGCCCCTCACTTTGAATTTGGACGAGAGGAGCGCTTCCCGCCATGATTAGAGATGTAGAGTCGTTGTGAGACCCTCATGTTCAACAGCACTGCGGCATGCCGTCTCTGACGGTTGAGGGATATCGCAAGCTCGTCAGAGCGCGTGTAAGAATGGCTTGCGCGCATGAGTTTAGGGGCAATTTTCTAGGCAGGGGTTGCATGCTGTGCGCTCGGACCTGCTCCGTTCCCCTTGTTGGGATGCAACCTTCCATATAATAATTGAGATGTTCGGTTTTGCCGAACCGCTGCCTTTGAGTTAGCGGCACCGAGAAATGTCAGTTGTGGAGTGTTAGCCGTGTAGATAGCTGCGGAGACTATAGAGGAAGTGGTAAAACGTTCGGAATACTTATGTTTCCAACATTCTTGCAATTTTGCAAATTATTCAACGGGCGCCGGGTGTTTCTCAGCCTTAGGCCCTCTAAGGATACATAACAAACAATACATTCTACAAAATGGAAGAATGTTTGGAACATAAGTATTCCGAACTTTTTACCACTTCCTCTGTAGTCTCGGCAGTCATCCACTCGGCTATTCCTTCCACGAGTGACATTTTTCGGCGCCGCTAACTTAAAGGCAGTGTCCGGGCAAAAAGTCGATTTTAAGATTTTGTGCTTACCCGGGCCTATTCGCTATGCTGAATCCGAAAATCCACACTGGAAAGCGCGAAAACGGCGAAAAAGGGCTCTAACGCAGGAGGGAAATCAAAAGTGGGCGGGGTCTTCCCCCACAGTGAATTCACGGTCCCAGCTTCTGGAGCGATCTTTTCAAACCCGCTAAACGCTCTGACATCTCCACAGGCCAGCTGCAAACGCATGACTTGAAATCGGAACCGAGAAGATCGCTCCGGAAGCTTGGAGCGTGAATCAGCAGTGGGGAAGACCCCGCCTACTTCTGATTTCCCTCCTGCGTTAGAGTTCTTTTTCGCCGTTTTCACGCTTTCTAATGTGGATTTTCGGATTCAGAATAGCGAATAGGACCAAGCACAAAATCTCAAAATCGAGTTTTTGCCCGGACACTGCCTTTAAAGGCAGTGTCCGCAGAAACTCGACTTCTAAAAAATCAACTTATCTGGGGTTATCCGCAACGCTGAATCCGAAAATCCACATCAGAAGGCGCGAAAACGGCGAGAACATGCATTTTCCAAGTCCTCACATTTCGAAATTTGGGGATCCCCGCCAGGCTAAGACGCAGAGGTTGCAAAGAGCGCACGGTTTTTAACTGTGGCGGCATACGTACTCTGCCGTCTGGCAGGAATTCAAACAGCTCGGAGGACCCCGCCCCAAGGCGTAAGTTTCCCCAATTTGCAATCGTTTTTCTTGCTTTAGGTCGAACGTTTTATGCTCGCAGTTGCGCGATGTTGTGTCTCAGGGGGGCTACTTTCACGTGGCAGAGAAATCTCAGAACCCCCATTTTGCCCGGACACTGCCTTTAAGCGATCTGTGGTCGTCCTGGCGAAACCTTCGCTCGTAACTTTTCCCAGATCATTGAGCAGCTGAGGAACACGTGTCTGTTATTAGTGCCCCAAGAGCAGCACAATGATATGCATCACGTGTGGGAACCCCACTTCGACCGAGGGTCCTTCCCTTGTAAGAAATGGTGCGTGCAAAAGGCAAATTTGGCCATACAGAGCCAGGTTCGGCTTGATGTTAGATCAAAACATCCAGCTAGTTTACTCCAAAAGGCGCATACCTAAAGGCGAGCCAAACGTGCAATAATAAGGTCAATTTCGCAAACTTTATGCACGATTTTTTCGCAGTAAAAGTGCTTCGCCAACAAAGGCGTTCTGCATAAGGAAGACAGATTTGAAGACAGCGTTCTATGCTGCATTGAATGGTATACAGTTTGTTTGGGTTGGCTACTTCGACTTCTGACCATTCCCTTGTCAGTAGTAACAAATCTTTAGAGAAGCTTGTCACCCCCTTTAGTCAAGTAACTCTCACTTCGTTCCCTCTAACATTTGTTTGTCTCAACTCCAATTGGTGCAGCGATATCTTACCCCTTTGCCTTCCTTCTTCCCTCCCTTCCCCCCCCCCCCCCACCTCAAAAAAAAATAACAAACGATTTCTAGGTCGATTGGCTACGCTCGTACCGGTTTTCTACTATCGCTGGAGTTTTTTTTTTGTAAGACTGTGAAACGTGAAGAAGTTCATAAGGTGCACTGTGTTCATACCGGGTGCTATAAAAGGTTTATGCTTCTGCGATAAGTCATCAGACAAACACTCAATAGATTTGAAAGATTTAGTCTTGAGCCAATCACATTTGCTCACGTCAATCTCAGATCAGATCATTTCCACACAGGTAAAAGGGCAGTCACTTTATTTCTTCATTCAGAGTCAAGCATCGTCATCATCGATCTCATCTGTTGCAGTGTCAGCAGCGGTTGTTGCCTCTGCAGCAGGCGCGAAGCAGTACACGCCATCGGTTGGACGTCCGAGGCGCGTAACATAGCGACCATTCTTATTGCAGATCAGGGTCATCTCAAGAGCTCGATCGGGATCGTTCGATATTGCTTGGATGCTAAAGATTCTTAATAATTCCAGCATCACATGCGGGCTACACAAAAACTTACTATGTGATTCCCTCTACATCAGTCCGCAACTGTAGTGGACTTCCACGAGCTTCGCAGCGAACCTTTGCTGTCCAGCAAACTCTTCTTGGTGAGTGTATAATTTGTGGAGCGTAAGTGATCTCAAACAAAGCCATCAGGAGCATACATATTGAATTTTCCAGTTTGTGGAGCATGGCTTTTTGTATGCCTTCCGGATGTTTTCTTCTTTTCCATCGAGTCTGAGTAAACACCAAATCTCCCAGAAGACCACGCGAAAGATCTAGATTGTACCCGATGCAGTACCGCTCTCTTTTTTTTGCTGACCAAACGCTCTTTTTCTCTGCTGACCAAAAGAGAACTTTTAAAAACGTTCAGGTGATTGCCGAAATTTCCAGGGTACCAACTATACTTCCGTTTGAGGTCCGCAAGCCATTTTGCATAGCAAGTCTCGAGACCAGATATACAGAGTGTCCCAAAAAAATGTGCCTACTGTTTGATTGTAAATAACTCTCTTGTAATGATGTGTTTCGAGAAGCTTTAGGTGCCATTTTATAGAGCGAGGTTGAACTTAGATTTACAGCATAGAGCGAATCACTGATCTCTCTTCACTACTGTAGGATTACGGTAAGAACTTCCAACATATGGATTTAATGTGAAATTTACTATTTAATAAAACTTTTTTCAAAAATTCTGAAAAATCGTGTATTAGGGTTTTCGCGCATGCTGATTCTATCTAACAACTTTTTACGAGTGTTTTCAGCTTTTTTGACGCTGTAATTACATTTCTGACAAATGCTGGGAGCTGAGTTATTACGATTTATCGGGGATAACTTTGGAAAGAAGCATCATAGAAAAATGGAAATTTCAAAATCGGAATCAGCAGCTCCCATTCCGTAGTACAAGAGTTTTTGGCTTGTTTGGTTCTGTTCGGAGGCAGAATATAGCCTCCAATGGCCCTAAAATCCTTGTCGAATTTTGTACCGTAATCCTACAGTAATGAAGAGAGATAGACGATTCGCTCCATACTGCAAATCTAAGTTTGACCTCGCTCTACAAAACGGTACCTAAAAGATCTCGAAACACTACATTACAAGGGAGTTATTTACAATCAAACAGTAGGCACATTTTTTTGGGACACCCGTTATAACTACGAAGTCGAGCAAAGCTTACTCCCTCCGCGCTCGATCTACCGAATCTCAGCCTATCATTTGATTTTTTTTTGCGGATGTCTTGATTTTCTGATGATTTGCGGGTAAAAAATTTTGGCAGTTGAAAAATGCGGATTTTGAATTTATCACTGTGGGTCATAGCCTGTCTTCTCCAGAAAACCAAGCGTGATTTTTTGCAGGTAGCCTCGTTGCATATTGATTCATTTTTACCTTCTAAATGGATTGTTAAGTGGTCATTCCGAGACTTTTATGGAAAACCGGCAAGCATTTCGGAGAAACTGTGAAACGCAAAAAAACAGCCTTTGTAGCGACCAATAAGCTAATGCTCAAGCTGTTCATCTCCTCCAATGTCCAAATGTGAGTAGAAAGCTTTATTGAGAAATTTTTAGAAAGATTTGTGCGGGAAGAGTGTGAAAGCTGTCTTGAGAATAAAAACCAAGAAAACTTACTTCAGGTTCATAGCATCCTCCCGTATCTTCTCCACTTCCTTCGGGATCACAGTCCACGATCCCAATTTGTGGGCATAACAAACCACAATCTCAACAATTTTTACTTCAGATCCCCAGGCAACTGTTAGAACTAGTAAAGCGAGAAGTAACTAACCAACTTCGGACGGTTTTATATTTGACAAGAACTCGGCTTTCGTCAAATGGCGGAAAACGTCGTGGTAATCATGGCCTGTGAGAAAATTCGATTGAATTTCCTTTTATGACACGAAGTACTCTAACTTGTGAGACGACTTGTAAATGAAACTCAAAACTCAACCTTATGCATTGGACAGACCTTGCTTTTGAATGAAGTAATTACCTCTTACAGTGACAACGCCGAAGAGAATCGCCAAAAATAGAGCTTTGTACATGTTTGCTAGTAAAGTTGCTCACCGCTCATCTTCAGGTATTTTATAGTGATATGTAATCGTTTTGACTAGCGTTCTATGTTGCTTGCTTCGGCAGCCAAAACATAAGCATACATTCATTGACAAGGTATTTTATTTTGCATAGTTTGATTTCATTGTGCTGGTTCTGCAATGGCTATTTCAAAAAAATGGAGAGGTGAGTGCGGACCCACGTCTCGCTCTGTCACAGTGCATTATTCACCATAATCGTGAGATGACCACCAAATAGCAAGGTACGTAATTAGGACGCAGATTTACCCAAATTCATTACTAAACTCTTAGGTTTGAACTTCTGTGAGCGGGATCAATGGGATTTTATGAGGTAAAAACATAAAAATTTGGCTAAGGTAAAAACAAGTGTTGAGGTCTTTCTGGCGCTTGAAATGAGTAAGGACTAGCATGAGTTTATTGAACTTAAGGTATTAATTGCATAAAGCGCCGTGGCAGTAATCGTGGACCCATCTGAGCTCACAGACTAGTACAGTTCTTATCAGTTTTATTGCAGCCGCGCGTTCAAATTTTTTCAGGAATTCACGCCCCCCGCCCCTAGTATGGGTCGCGAAATCTTTGAAATTTACTTACGTGGGTTACAGAATTGTGCAAGGTGAGTTGTTTATTTACGTAAATAAAATAATTTTCGAAATTTAAAAAAACTAGCCCTGTTTAATAAATCTTCGGGAAAAGGCGTGGCGCAAGCCACGCCCCCTTTTTCTTGAATTTGGGGGGTATGGGGCTGCAAAAAATTTGAGAAGCACCCCAAAAAATTTTCTCGGAGTGCGTGGCTGACGCCACGCACCTTCATTCAAAAAAATTTTTTGGTGCTCCCCCCCCCTCCCCGAACAGAAATCCTGGGACCGCCATCGGGTAAAAGAGATTATTGTTATGCAAGTATCCTCTTTTAAAGCATAGCAAATGATAAGTCCGTGCCGCCATTTCACTTTTACAGCAATGGTATAGGAAGTTGACAGATTAGCAGGAGTGAATCTGAGATTGATTAACAGGCTCCTCGACGAAAAGTCCCTATAAGGGGGGGGGGGAGGCGACAATGCGTGCAAAGTGCAAGCAGTGTAAAATCGTTTTTGCTACTTTTTACGAAATTTTACTTATGGCATCAAGTCATGTATCTGCGCCCACCCCCACCCCACTACCTTGGCGCCGTGTCACTTTAGCACAAAGAGTTTTGAAAGGTACAAGATTTGAAGATTGTCGCCTTCCACACCACAACCGACTTTGTGAAAGCGCTTTCAGGCATAGTCGATTTCGCATATTTCCCACTTTCGCAAACCAGTGTTGTAAATAAACCTGCAAAAACTGTGACTGCAGCTTCGAACACTCAGTATGTGATCGTCTGACTAGACAGTGCTGAAATATAGTGCTTATGACATCAATCATGCTTTTATTTTTGAGGACGATAATTTTTCTAGTAGGAGGAATGAATAACTGCAACCAAGCAATAATTTCAGAGTCGTCTTGCCTTGGACTCCTTACTGCTGAAAAGAGGAAATTTCCTGATATAAAGATACCTTCACCATTTCTGTTAGACGTATCGCAGCTAAAAATAGCCTGTTGGCTGTGTCTTATACGATAGAATTCCCCATCCTAAAGCACTTCCAGTCTTCATCTTCCGCGCCACTCGTGTAAGCCCACCAAAAACGAGTTTATTTGAGGTCGAGAACTGAGGGCTGGCGAGATTGTCGTCTGTGCACACTTTGCGCCACCAGAGTAGGAGAACAAAAAGTCGTGCTTGCTTTTTGCCCAAACTTTAGCAGTAAGTTGGTCCATATAGAAACCTCTGGATGAAAGTGCAAATCCCGCTTTCGATGATAGATTCTAATGAAAAATAGGTATTTTGCCACATGTAGTGGTGCAACTTTTCGCCTTACTATGGTGTTCCATAATTTTTTACTGCTTTCGCTACAACTGTCGTCTTTTTGTAACTTTCCTTCAATTTGTATCAAGTAATCATTCGATAGGCAAAGCAAACTCTACAAGTTGGCTATCAAGGGTCCGAACAAATCGAATTCAAATCGTAAAAGTTTTGAGCTAAAATCTGATAGCAATCAAAACAAACTTTTCTTTAGAAATTCGTATTTCCACCCCGAAAAAACTTGAAAACTCTTCATTTGTTCTAGCATATGCTTGACATATCGAACATTTAACTGTACACTTTCCGTATTTTTTCAATGACTAGGAATAAAAAAGAAGTGAATGGAGCAAAATGACAATTTCTGCCCCCAGACTTCCTGAGCTTCTCCCACGTACGTGATCATATAGCCCTTATACACAGAAGTACGACCGTGTGTTTGTACCCTTTGAAGGTGCCCCAGTTCTCGAGAAATGCCGACATTTGGGGTAAAAACGGTAAAAAAAAATTGTGGAACACCCTAAATCATCAACAACAGCATGCCATCCGACAGATTTTGCAATGTAAGCTATCTTACAATTTTCAAAACTTTATTATTGCATATTAAAGATTATTGCATTTTCATGAGCATATAAATTGATGACTAGGACCTGCTTCTAACTTGGCCAGTACGACCCGGGCTACTACTACCGGGAGTAGTGATTACAGCACGGGAGCCTGCCCGAGACAGAAACAAACCATAGACACACAACATAAGAGTACATCGATGATGATGACGATGATGGAGCAAAATGAATTTGTTTGGAAGTGAGAGACATAATGAGATTATTTTTGTCCTTAGAAGCATTTGCGATGAACGATCGAGGGACCGGACTCATCGTATTCTTGTTTCGAGATCCACATCTGTTGGAAGGTGGACAATGAGGCAAGGATTGATCCACCGATCCATACGGAGTATTTGCGTTCTGGGGGAGCAATGATTTTGATTTTCATCGTGCTGAAAAGAGAGTGGTGAACACAGCGAAATCATTGCAAATTTGAATATCTCGTTACCTAGGGGCTAATGCAGTGATTTCCTTCTGCATACGATCAGCAATACCAGGGTACATGGTAGTTCCTCCAGACAATACAGTGTTAGCATAAAGATCCTTACGAATATCGATGTCGCACTTCATGATTGAATTGTATGAGGTCTCGTGAATACCAGCAGATTCCATACCCAGGAAGGAAGGCTAAAAATTTTTTTTTTTTTCAGAGAATATAACAAGTATGATGTGAATTCGCGAAGGATTTTGTACCTGGAAGAGGGCTTCAGGGCAACGGAATCGTTCGTTTCCTACAGTGATGACCTGTCCATCAGGAAGTTCATAAGACTTTTCCAGGGATGAGGATGAGGCAGCAGTGGCCATCTCTTGCTCGAAGTCGAGGGCGACATAGCACAGCTTTTCCTTGATATCTCGAACAATTTCTCGCTCGGCAGTTGTGGTGAAGGAGTATCCACGCTCAGTAAGGATCTTCATCAAGTAATCAGTCAAGTCACGTCCAGCAAGATCCAGACGGAGAATGGCGTGAGGTAGAGCATATCCCTTGATTGAAATAAATAAAAAAAATTCAAGTATTTCAAAGTGTTGATGTTGCAAACCTCGTAAATGGGAACAGTGTGAGTAACACCATCTCCTGAATCAAGGACGACTCCGGTGGTACGTCCAGAAGCGTACAGAGAAAGCACAGCTTGAATAGCCACATACATGGCAGGCGTGTTGAATGTTTCGAACATGATTTGCGTCATTTTTTCTCTGTTAGCTTTCGGATTGAGTGGAGCCTCAGTCAACAAGACGGGGTGTTCTTCTGGAGCAACACGAAGCTCATTGTAGAAAGTATGATGCCAGATTTTCTCCATGTCATCCCAATTCGTAACAATTCCGTGCTCAATGGGGTACTTCAGCGTGAGGATACCTAAACGGTATGCTTAGCGCTCGATCACTTGTCATGCCCCTTAAATTGCATGTGGTAGCACTTGCATACCTCTCTTTGACTGAGCTTCATCCCCGACGTACGAGTCTTTCTGCCCCATACCAACCATGACACCCTGGTGACGAGGACGTCCGACGATGGAAGGGAACACAGCACGCGGAGCATCGTCTCCTGCGAAACCGGCCTATAATCAATCAGTGCAAAAACTGCAATAAACAGAGTTAAGAACTCGGAGTCGCAAATTTCTTGGCTTTTCAGTTCTGTGCACTTTTGGGAGCTTCACATAGCAAATTTGAATAGCACTTCGACAGAGTGCAATGGCACCGTCGCTGAGCAGCCATCTGTGCCCGATGTGTGTTTTATGAGCGACAGCAGCAGATGTGGCACAGGAAGGCAGGCCGGAGCCACTCTAGGCGTACCAGCGCAACTGTGCGTTGTTTGCCGAGCCGACCTACTCCAAGAAAAGCTCAGGGTGTAATGCCGCGCACTCGGCAAATAACGACCTCCTTCGCCTCCTGCTCCACCGAATTAGCATACGGTCCATCCCTCGACGTGCTCGATCGATCGATTGCCGCAAAACTGTCGAGCACTGTCATCAAGAAACGTCCGAGAACCAATCGGCCTTGACTAACGCAACCTCCCATCACACAGACGCACACGCACCACACACTTATTGAAAGAACGCGGGACACGATCCCCTCACCTATTTTCTTGCGCATGCAATGACTCGTCGCGAAGAACGCGGGGCACACGCACTCGCTCGGTCTCCCCATGCATTCCTAGCCAGCTCGTCCTGCGCGTGGTGACTTGAGCAAGCAAACATGGACATCGCAGCGCACCGCTCATAGCCGGCTGCCTCGGTTAATTATTGGGCTACCGCCTGACCTTAGCAGAATCGTGCAAATCATGAATGCCTCCGAAGAGATCTACACAAGCAGCGCGTTCCGGCATGCACGAACATTTTCAAACTGAATGGAACTATGCGGTAAGAAACGACGCGCGCGCCAAGCAAGGAGTGAATGGATTGCGTGCAAGGTCACACCTCCTGCGCGAGTGACAGACGGCTCACGTTGAATAATTGGGCCTAGCTCAAAAATCAATGCTATCTAAACCAAATCCAAATCACATACATAATCAAATATCCAGTTCAAGTTTCAATATCAAGAACACGGAATATTAACGATTTCGGAAAAAAAGCATCGTGCAAAAAAAACCGAGACAAAGGCGGACAAAATGGTAAAATTACAGCGAGGAAATTCAAATTCTATGCAATACTACCTTGCACATTCCAGATCCATTGTCGACCACAAGAGCAGCAACCTCGTCGTCACACATGATGAGTGCTGATGGCGGGCTAACGAACTAGTGTCGACCCGCCTCCCGTTCGCCTTTTATATGCGCGCAACCCGCCAGCACGCATCGCGGACGCTGCGCAGGATCGCTATTGGTTATCGCGATGACGCCCAATCCGCTATTGGTAGATGAACTCTCTCAGTTGAGGGTTTGAATGAGCTAGGTGAGGCAGACTTACTCCTCGTGGGTTCAGCTGTCCTTCGTCTGCGACGGCAGTAACGTTACGGTTTCTACGTCCGGCTTTATAGCATTGGCGCACTGCCAGCCGTGCGATCTCTCAGTTGAGGTCGCACATGTCCTTCAAGTGGTACTTGAGTAGAAACTATGTTCATCTAGAACTTTTGTCAGAATGTGAAGTGCTAGGGTAAACGAAGGAGCTGCAGAGTCATTACTGACCAGAGAAAGTCATTCCAGTGATGCGTCTCAACCAAGTGATCTATGAATTGCTCGATTGGGATAACGCATCGAGTAGATCAAATGAACATCTGCTGGCTCGTTACGAATGTGTTGGGGTTTTTAGTGGTTCCCAGAATCTATGTTGCGGTGGCAACATATTTTTCGATCTATAGCCTGGAGAACAAAATGGTCTTTCACTTGATTACACCTTTTATGAAATAGAAAGGGAAAGTCGTGTTTGTTGGTCTGTTAGCATAGCATTTTGGCTGGTAAGTAACTAGAACGAATACTTGCTCAACTATTTCTTTGCTTCTATATTTCAAAAATCCAGATTTTTTTTTGCAAAACTCGACACATGAGAATAGCGCTAACAAGTGCCTGTGTTGCTATGCAAATTTGTAAGTGTGCTACAAAATAAGTTCGGAAAAACATAAGTGGTGTCTCCTAAAAAAAGATTTAGTTGATAATGCTAAGCAATATTGGGAGATCTGCGTTTTTTCTTGAAGATTAAAGTCTGTGCTTTTTTTTCGGTAGTGGCTACGCACATCTTTGGTAAGTAGCTTCATGTCAGTGGAATTTCCAGATTGGACGGACGTTTTTGTAAGCGTTGTAGCTTTCCCGGCACTATATTTATTTTTCTCGTTCCCCAAGGTTTTTCTGCTGGATTCTCCTAGCGTAAGGGTGTTACACAGAATGAGGGTAGAAGAGCATTGGTTTATCCATGCTCTTGACTCTGTGCGGCTTTTGATCGGTGAGGCGGCCTTAGCATGGAGCCGGTGAGCACCTCCGTCAACAGGGTGCTCATGGAGGGGTTCTACGAGTGACTGCAGAGCAACGCGTTCCAAGAACCTCGCTAAACACACACATGCAAGAGCTCGCGCTGAAGAAAGGCAAAGCGACCAAGCTCATGGTCTCATCGGAAAAACCCGCTGGTCGCAAACGTGCAGGAAAAGCATCCATAACAAATCTACAGACATGTAGGATTTTCATCAAAAAATCTTACATTGGGAAGTCCCCGAAATGAAATCTGAACTAGCTCTTTCTTGGAATAACACTGCCGCAGTAAAAATGAATCGCCTCTGATGAGTCAATCGACCGTTGTGCGCTCAGCTAGTCATTGGCACGCAGACTGTCCACATCCTGGAAAATGGTTTGACTCATAAGGATAAGCAACAGGGCGCGAATAACTCCTACGCAAATATATTTGTGCGCTTACGTGAAGCTCGAAATGTAGGCGAAGGTTGTGATGTGACTGATCTGATGAGAATGTTGCTTTTGACATATTTATATTGTCTACCCACGATCATGCAGATGAAGCTAGTCGTTGACATCGGGATGTATTCTCACATGGGTGCTTCCTACAGCTGCATACTTAGTTATTTACTTATTTATTTATTTGGTACGCGCAAGGCGTGCCCCATCCAGAACAATCGATGAAATCATTAAAAACTTAGCCAGTAACAAATAAAACAAAAAAAAAACATCCAAAAAGTCAGCTCAAGACCTGTCCCAAACTTTTAGGGAAGTTAGGGAACACGCTTGTATAAACCATACATGAAATCATCTACTGGCGTACAATTGGAGTAGAGGCTGGGGCATATCATGCGTGCTCGAAATTCGCTCTCGAATTTGCGTTCAGCACATTTAATGGAGCATGGCAATTCATTACCTTTTGTTACTGCACAAACAAAGTGACATACGAGTGTTTCGGACCTGTGCACCAGGAAAATACTTTTTTTTTTGCTTTAGCTGACCTGATAGCTCACTTTTGACATTCAGATGCGCGTATTTCTGTCGCTTACATGTCGGTTGGTTGTCCTACAAGGAAACTTATGGCTTTGACTGAAATATGTATTCAGAGTTTTCGGCTGATAAAAAAGATTTTCCCATTTTCAGGCGTATCTTAACTTACTACTGATACCATTTATTTCTGTGTTCTTTTGGCGCACTTTGGTACATGTGAAATAGATAAATAAATCTTGAAATGTAGCAATGACTTTGCTCCAATGTGTTTGAACTGTAGCGCAGCTCAGTAGGCATGCAGACTTTCTATCTCTCCAACGTGCCGAATGTACGTTGACTCAGTCCCTACGCTGTGCTCGAAATCATACAAACAAAGCGCCAAGTAGTACAAAGTGTTTCACTTCACTACTTTTTTTTTTCGTGTGTGCGTAAACACATATTTCCAATCATCAAATTCTCGACAAACTCAAAGCGACCAGTTCGGTCTGTTGTGAACAATGAACCAGTCTTTAGCACCATTGCGAGAGCCTAGAAATATTACATAGGTTCATGAAGGACAACCAAACTGACGTCCTTCTGGTCTATGGGAACATTAACGACGACCTGTCAAGAGCCAATAATGCGCAACTTTATCACAACTTTCACACACAGAGATCTGGAAGATTTTGCTGATTCCTTGATGTGAAGCATATTTGTACCACTTCGACAGAGCTCCACCCAGAAAGCCTTTTCAAGAAATTCTAATCATTAGCATTGTGGTCATTTTTCGCCTGATAACTGTTTGAGATGTGTCGTCAAAAATCCAGTGCTCAGCGTACATGTCCAGCCATTAGTTTTCCATTAGTTCCAGAGTGAAGCTGGTAGTTGTTTCATTCGATATGGTAGGAGTTTGGACCCGTTGAATAATTTGTCTGTGCAACTCAGGCTATAACAATTATATTCTGTTTACCAGCTCCCCCCCCCCCTCGCCCATTGTATAGCTACTGCTGGAGTTGAGTGCAGCTAGAATGTGAAAAGATTCACAGTGTATGATTTTAGGCTAATAAGTAACTTGTTTTACAGATAACTAGGTCCGCGAACATCGGAGGAAAATCCACACAAGATCTCCTGTCGCGTCAGATATCCCTGCCGCCTCTTGCCGACGCGTTCACCGGCAGATCAAGAACTGTAAAATGATAGAAGTGAAACTATCGTTCAACCTGACCGCTCCCTGAGACTGAATTGTGCGGATGGAAGTTGGATCTGGGACTTACTGTTAGTAAAGATGGATGCATTGGTCCATAAATTTAGTGAGTCCCGAAATGCTTATTCGAAGAAATCTACATTAAACAATCATAGAGACTTTGAACAATAATCTATGCGTTATTCTAATCGCGCGCTTTCTCCGCAACGTGGGTGGTCTAAAATTCTCCGCACCTACACTGCGCCAGACATCTCTACCATATGGCAGATTGCGTCAGGCAGATGTCACCATTCGGACACTATCGAGAACAAATCCGTATACAGTTGCGCATTACGGAATTTGTATCTAGCAAAAGAGTAGGTGTAGGCTTCTGGATAAGATAACGCAATATTTTATCGCACTGACTAAGAAGAAAGGAATGAATAGAGAAATAGCCAGTAAAATCTTCACCTTTATCTGAAGAAACTGACACATGAGAAGTAAAATGTTACCGATTCAAAAACTTAGGCTTGTCCCCGTTACTTTCAATTAGTTGCAGACGATATGTACTCCGTCGAAATGAATTGCTGGCACCGAAACGGAATCACAAAAGCTCACCTGCATTTCTTTTCCATATATTTTAGAGGCTTCGTAACACCTTCCACACCTTTAAAATCATGGAGTGCGCATATTGTGGAGCTATTGTGTTCTTCCGAAGAAAAGATTATTACCTGCTAAGCCGCTTATTGTCGTATCCCATACAGAATATCAGTGAATGAAACAGAGAGAACATTACGAGTATCTGTCCTGGTAGTGAAACATCCAACAGTTCTTTCTTTCTCTGACTGCATAAAGAAAGCATGCAGAGGAACACCAGAAAAAATTCCGAGGAAATCCGACAGAAATAATTGAGTACCAATGTGAAATGTATATCAACAGCATGTAGATAAGTCACGAGTACTTGAGCAACTTCAATGGAATCAATTCTTGCATTTTTCACAACTTCTAAGCCATATGGCTCAATATTGATACTGTCAGTGGCTCCACATTCTATCTCTTTAGTATTTACAATCATCCTCATCTAGATGGGTTTCTGGAATTGCTCTAGTTAGTTGATGAATACGAATGCTGAATACGAATTCTTTTAATTCATATAACATAGTAATTTTCACGTCGTCTTCGCCACTCGCCTTGCAATGTAGTTTTCCTTGGTGGTGAAAGCCTCAGATGGAAACCAACACTTCTCTTGGGTTAGTTTAGGCTACTATATAATGCATTGGATAAATAAACTCCGCTATAACTACACGTTAGTATTGTCAGGTGTCCGAAAGCTGTAAGCACACAGTGAAGTGTGCATATCGACACATACGTAGTAGTGGCAGGTCAGTAGCTGAATTTCAGAGCCGATAGTATTCCACGTGTGCAAGGCTTCAGTTCCACTAGACGTGACTAACTTTCAAGTATCATATGCTCTTAAGATAGTTAAATAAAATTTTCAAAAAATGACATTACAAAAAATAAAACAGAATGAAGGTTATCTTTCCTGGTGAAACTTATCTTGCATTGTGGCTTCCAGCGGGATGAGATAACTCTCATCCCTATCTTTGGTCGGATTCCAAGCTAACAATCCCTTAATATCAGTGATGCCATTCCATGTGATCAAGCAACAGCGAGCGACGTATCCTCACCTAAGTCAGACTAAAAAGGTCTGCAGCGTATTAATCCTAGAGCAAGCGCTGCGACTCCATAAGTAGGTTTTAAACGATTCTCATGAGAACGGACGGTGATTTTTGGGAAGCCAGTGATACAAGGATTTGAAAAACAAAATTCTAATTTTACTTTCATTGAAAGAGTTTTCATTGAGTCGCCGCGACGAGATAATCTCAACGAAATCGTCGCACCCCATGACTTCTTAATAGATTTTTGTCATTTCGCTCAAGAAATATAACTTAGAATGTTAAAAATTAAACTTTTGGTGAAGTTTAAGCATGCGACGGTTTCATCGCGACAATTCAGTAACCCTTTCAATGAAAGTGAGACTAGAAAAATTAGCGGCTTTTCGATTCCTTGGATCATTGGCTTAAAAAAGCAAAAGTAAAAAGTAAAAAGCAAACGCCGATCTCACGAAGATAGTTTTGAACCTATTAGAGTGTCCCATAATTTTATACCACTTTTACACTAAAAATTAGCATTTCTTGAGAACTGCGGACATGAGTGGGAGGAGTTCAGGACGTCTATGGACGGAGTGTGTCATTTTACTCCATTCATTTTCCGTATTTCTAGCCTTGGAAAAAATACGAAAAGTGTACAAATGAATTTTCAATGTGTCAAGGATATGCTAGGATAAATAGAAATTTTTTAAAATTTTCTGAGGCGGAGATACGATTTTTAAGGGTGAAGTTCGCTTTTGATAGCTATCAGATCTCAGCTCAAAACTTCACGTGGAATACCCTGTCGAAGTCGATTACTCAAGCCACTCAACTGAAGGAAAGATACAAAACCGCGATTGTATAAAAACGGCAAAAAATTATGGGACACCCTAATAGTAGTTATAGGGTACCCATGGCTTTCTCGAAATCAAGTCCCGTTTTTTTACACGAGTGGCGGCATTGTAACTACGCCGAGGCAAAGTGCCTGGTTTCGAGCACTCTAATGTCACTAATTATGGGGATACGATGCCCACGACTTTCTCTTACCTAAGGAAAACTGTTAAACACATTCGATCGTCTGAACTCTCGATCATCTAAAAGTGATGAACATGAGCATAGTTTTGATGGTTGTGAATATAATGACCGAAAATGAGAGCAAGTATTGTTTTTCGAGTAAAACTAAAGCAAGGAAGGGAAACTGTTACAATGACAGAAAGGAAATAAGTCAACATGTTAAATCTGATGCACTCCTCCATTCAGCTGAAAGCTTTCTCAAAACAATTTTCGAAGGCTCGCAGAGATTATCTGGTAAACAGGCTGTAAAAATCAGACTTCAGGCAAAACTTAGGCTTGCAGAGGCTGCGTGCAGAGGTTATATGGCGAATCCAGTCAGAAAATAGACGCAACTTCGACTAATTTGAGTGAAGCAAACTTTGAATGGCGCAAACCATGAGAGTGGAGGCAATGATTTGTTTAATGTATTTGGATTTTATTACAAGATAAGCCTAATTTATTTTGATAAACCGCAATCTTTCTTCAAACTGATGGTGACTTGCATCATTGATCTCATACTTCCACATTCTTTTGATTCTCTGCTAAAGAAATAGTCCAAAAACCGCGATGAATGCACATTTACAGGGCGTCCCAATAATAAGTATACAGTTTGATCGTTGATGTCTCATGTCCTCGCACTTCGGAGTGTTCGGCTAATTTTTTGACTAATTGTGAGGGATATTGTATCCCAATAAATCGAGGCCGAAACAACCTTAAAACACACTTTACAGAGTCGCTGATTTTGAGTATGAGATGTGCACTTTAATATAGAAGCTCGTCTTCAAGTAATGTCAAGAATATCATGACAGCTGTTCTTTATAAGCGCCTTAAACCTGTGATTCCATCTTTTAGAAAGCTTTAAAAACTTAAGAAAAGTGGTAATGAAGTCAGCATGCGTGAAAACCCTGGTACACAACTTTTCAGATTTTTTGAATTTATATTTGATATACAGCTAAACTACTAGCGAAAAAAGCTGGATATTTCTGCCGTAATCCTACAGTAATGAGGAGCGATTGGATGTTCGCTCTATACTGTACATCTAATTGTAAGTTGAAGCGTGCTCTACATAAATGATCAAACAGTGTATAAATGCTTCTAAGACACTTTAATAATGGCGTTCAAAGGTCTGTCACAGCTAGGAAAGTCTTGCGCAACAAATTAGTATTTGTGCTGTATCAAGAGAGTGATCAAGTGGAGAGTACTGTAGCATACTAGTGTTCAATTTAGCAATAATCACGACACTTTTAGCCAGTTAATTCTTGGTCTCTTCTTCCATTAGTTTGCAAAAATGGACTTCCTGAAAAAGAAAGAGGAAAGATGTGTAAGAATAAAAGCTTCTGAGGTCCAAAAAACTAGCACAGAGAACCGTGCTGCTGAAGGAAAAAGAAGCGAAGATATTGTGTGAAAGGATAAGCCGAAACGATGTTAGGAACTACATCTTCGTCAGTGACGTCTTCATGTTTCAATCAATTTTGTTCGATTTATCTTCAGAGGATTAAAATGGTTAGAGACTTGGGATATTATGCTTACTCTCACCAAAAGTCTATCCGATTTGGTTATCTTGATGTCACCTCAGAATGCTTGAAACAGAATACAATTCCAATTCCAATTCCAAATAATTAAATATAAGATAAACGAACCTCTGTCAACAGCATTTCGGTGAGAATTGCCAATAGGAACATGCACAATATTATTGGATTTAAAACTATCGCCTTTTTCTGACTCACACAGCGTTACAAAAGTGAATCCTTTCGCATTGGAACTTTATTTGAGGAAGTCGGATCATGTTGACCTTTGCAAAATTATCACAAATCTACCAAATGAACGATTTGGAAAAAGACGTTGCATTTTTGAAGATCACACTAATCTCAAAATGACATTCGGTGATTCTTGTCACGATTAGTAGAGCTAACTGAGGAGAAAATCTGAAAATTATGTACCGAATATGACACATTCACAGTTCTCCTTCTACTGATAGGGATGTACAGTTTGCGTCCCGCAAAATTTCACGCACACAGGTGCGCGTACTTTTCGCGATCTCTCTGGTATTCCCTCCAACCATGGTGCTTTTGCAGCCGAACACGTTATCCTCTACTTTTTGCCTTTTGGCGTCGGAGTGCGCATGTCACGATGTTATGATTGATAGGGTACTGTGTCTCAGCTTTGACTGCAGCTGCGTACTTTCGTCCACGTTTGGGAACGGTCAAAGGAAGTGGCTTTCCAAAACACTGTATAACTCGGAATTTTGATGTGATGGATTGCTTACAACCCAAATATGAAAAAAGAGTGAGTACAGCGCACTGCGTGCTGCGCGCATCGGATTACCCCAAGTAAGCAAAAGTTTTAGGTTGAGGATTTGCCAAGCCACTGCTTTCAAGGAGAAAAACCTGTTTGGGCCATTTTCGCGCCAAACAGGATGCATTTTGGGGATCACTACAATAAATCCTGAGCGAGAATTATCGGGCTTTTCAATGAGTTGGCCCACACATCGCATGGAGCCGAAGATGGACAGGGGAGTGCGCGTTTTTCACCTCAAAACAGCGCAAGGCAAAATGTTTAGCAGCAACGTGCAGCTCCTGAAGATCCTCGGTTTTATGATCGGTTCGCTAGAACCATGAAAACTGACTTTTGAAGGCATGATGGGAATCCAGCAGCCCAGTGACGAACTTTGTAAATCTTTTGGATATGTGGCAAAACTCAAGCGCCTCACGAAGTCATCATCGTCACCTCGTGCTACAGATGCAGCATGTTTTCAAGGAGGTGAGCTACCTGTGCATGAATTACATATGTATTCTGGAGGAAACCATGTTCGGACTTGCTAGAGCAACGCGGGTTCTCGATCCCAATTCATAACTGGTGCATAGCTTCTGTTACTATGAGTTAGCAAAAGTGATTTTATAGAATGTCAAAATGTACTCAAGATGATCAACACGGGCATCTTCGGGAAACCAATAGACTACGAGACTGTAGAGTATAGAAATTTTCAGAAAAAAAACTACTGCATATCTGCAAACGCTAGCAACTTCTATAAACATGAAGACTTTAACATCTGAGAGGATCTAGCAGGTGCACCATAAACATGCTTGCAACCTTCAAATTATTTCCACCACATATAGCAGAGCCAACGCAAAACTGGACAAAAATCATACTCATTTGCACAGAAAAAATGTTACCGATTTTGAAGATTACTGTCCGCTTCTGATGCATTGCCACTTGTCTTGGATGAGATTTGTCGAAGTTCAATGTAGTGCCTGAAACGAAACGTGTATGCAGAATATATGAACTAACCAAGATTGTTATTTGCTTTATTGATTCTAATTTCAACAGCCACCTTGTGTAAGCTTCATTTTTTGAACTTGCATTGGTTACGAGAGCCTTCCTTTATGCTTCGTGCAAAAATCTTCTGCACTTTTACTGTTATTTCATGTTGATTTCTTAGTCATATTATTGACTCCATCGTCACCGACATGATCTACAACACTGCAAAAGTAGTGTGATCACACAAACGATATTGGAATGAGGACGACCACCAGGTTGCGTAGGTCATGCTCGTCCTTACTGTTATGGTATGCAAGTTTGTGAACAACGCCAATGTACAAATTTACCCTCTTGTCTATTAGCAGACACTAAACTAGAAATTGTATAACATTATAAGCGGAAGAAATGCTAAACATCGTCAGCAATGACTGCAGTAGATTGGAATAAGGTATTTTGTAAAGTGCAACTGCTTCTCAAAAAATAATGATTGATCTTCTTCTGAAGTGTATTTTCTGAGCGGCTAGTCGACTATGTAGTTTTGGCTTCTATATTATGCATTCGTTCTGTAAGAAAACATTCAGGAAACTTTGCAGGTCGGTCTTCTCTCGAATGAAGGCTGCAGCTGAACAGTGGATTGAGGACATTTCCGCGCATATTTTATTACTAAAACGAGTTCTAGGTTGAATATGTTTGGTTGGTGCAAAAATAATTAGCGTTCTAGGCCTTGTTTCAGGACAACTTTTTTTCCACCACACTCTCTCTTTTGAAACAGTTTTAACATGCTTTCATGTTCTATCCAATGAAGGTCAAATTACGCTTCTAGCCTTATTTGTTAAAAATTTACAGAGCTTCACAACCGCACTCAGAACCAGAACATCATTGCATTTACTTTTCTGGCTCAATTCATGCTGGCAAATGCTCTACTTTATGCGGACTTAGGCCCGTATGCAAGTACATCCCCGCGGGGATGGGATGTGCGTTTTACCATTGAAATTATCCCCGCTGGGGCTCCCCTCCCCTCCCCACGCGAACCCCCGTATGCACAAAGACAATATCGGAGAAGGGATCCCCTGGGAATAGGGGAAGTGAACCCCCGTATGCACGAGGGGATCGAGCGGGGAAATCACTTCGCTTCCGCTTTTCTGTGATAATTATCCCTCTGTTCTCACCTTTTGAGAGCTACTCGTCTTCATTCTGTCATCCGAATTACTTTAGCCGTTGCGGAATGCGCGCCTATAGTATTACGCTTGGCGCAACAAAAATAACATTGTTATGCCCATTATACCTGCTGTTTTCATGAATGCTGCTTACTTTCGCCCAAGCTGCCCATCTCAGCGTAAAGGTGTTTAAAAAGAGAACAAGATGTCTCTGCAGTTGAATGGGTAGAAGACGTTACGCTGCCGAAAAAGGAGGGGGGTGTCGCGGACCCTCAAACCAGCATATCTACAAATAACAGAAGCTGCAAACCGTGCCAGGCTCTCCATGAAGGCTGTAGCAATTAACGACATACCGTCCAATTCCCCAAGGGAATGATCCCCAGCGGGAATGATCCCTCTACCCAGAAATAAGCAAATCTAATACTTTCCAGATTTTTCCAAGACATTTATGTTGAGATGACCAAATAAAGGCAACATAGCATGTAATATGATAGTTAAATGTGTTGAATCAGCTTATATATGGCTAAAAGTATCATATCATGAAAAAGGCGCAAATTTCTTGCATGGTCAAGAACTCCTACACATATTCAAATTGGCAGCTATTACATGCTCGGGTTTCTTCTCGAGAAGCGAATATAGAGTAGGGAGACAAGATTACAAGCTATAGGCCGCGGAGAAAGGAACCCGGCTTTCAAAAAAAATCGTTCATCAAATTGAACGAAATGCTTCGTAATAACTGATTGAAACCAGAATATTCGATTCTCTAGCATGACTTACACCAGCCAACCCCTACTTCGCTGCAGAGGATGTCGATCCTCTCCCCCGCGTTGTTGAGATACATTCGTGCATACGGGGAGGGGAAGGGAAGGATCCCCAGTGGGGTTCGTTCGATTGACACCTCAACGAAATGCTGAATTTGAGACTGCGAAAGAATACCGCAAGGTGCTGGCAAACGTTGAAAACCCGCGGAAACTGGAAAATGCTGCACCTACACGACTTATTTTGTAAGAGAAGTACATTGCCGTAACACAATTGCAGGAAAATCATAACATGAACTGCAAAATAGGCTCACATTACTTCATACTACTGACGGCAGGTAACGAGTATAAAGAAGCCTTGAAACCAGTAATTTGGAAAAGAAAAAGAGAGCGATGGGGAAAGAGAGACATGCAATGGTGGGGGGGGGGGGTGAAAGGAGAAGAGTGAGAAAGACAAAGGCACGCGAAATCAGTGTTTGTGCATTTTGTTTCGAAAGCTATTCTGCCACACAAACATTGACCGAAAAAAAGTTCTTCGGCGAGGTCTTGTACTAGCCGTGAGTAGAAGCGACCACCGCAATAACGCCATCCCCGCTATAGGTGGAGGGAAGGGGATCGCTCCCCTCCCCTCTGACATAGCGGGGTTCATTGAAGGGAATCGATCCCCTGGGGATCCAGCTCCCCTCCCCTCCCCAGCGGGGATGTACGTGCATACGGGCCTTAGTATAATTTTGAGATCATCCAGACTAAGGTATCGACAAGTCAACATAGCCGTTGCTGTTATTCGGTGGCCCACGATGTTCTATTGTAAAAGGTCGCCAAAGCTTTGATTATTATTGTCAGCGTAAGGATAGAGCTTCTTATTGGCAGTTATTTGCAAAACGTTCAGCTGTTTAGCACGAGGAAGGTTTCAAAAAGCTGCATAATTAGGGACCTTGAGCCTATGGAATAATGTAAAAGCTGACAAATTTGATTTCGAATTATTTCCTTTTCGCATATTTTCTTTATCCAATCCCTTTTCATCTTTTTCTGTACTATTGGCTTGCGCTACACGATACGCTATTTAGCATTCACAGTAACAAACATCGAAGGGAGTTTTGATTACGAGTTCCAGAAAAACTTTCTTCTGTTTTTCAATCCATTTTCTGCCCGTTTGTGATTGAGTATAGGTGGGTGTGCGCTTTACCGCGAAAGGTGCTGCTTCTGATGGCCCTTATCGCATTGAACAATGTGGATTTTACAAAATTATAGCCGTCACATTTTTATAACCCATATAAGTAACTTTCAAAAATTTTGCGACCCATTCTCGAAGGGGGGGGGGGCCCCCCCCCCCGCCCCCCTCGGTATGCCACTGCTACGTACTGATTGGATCTACGAAAAGTTTTTTTTATTTTTTCTTCAAAATAACGATCTGTATTTTTGATCATTAGTAGAAAACTTCTCTGATTGACGACAATCAATGTCAAACGACCTTCATGCGATGTTCCATGGTTACTTCCCGAGTGGCTCCTCAGAGTGTTACCTTTTTCTCTTCAAAAATTGCTAAGAGTTTGTCCTCCATATGAAACCACTGGTATGACAAAAGATTGCTCTCCATATTATCGATTTGACAGCACTTCTTACCAAACCCCGGAATAGCTAGGTAATATAAAAGATTATCCAACAGGATCGTCAAATGTCTTCTATAACAAAAACAAGGATCTTTGAAGAATTCTGCAACAACCAAAATGTGATGTGGCTATTCATTGAGAAAAACTAAGCAGACTTTTCTGGTCAATTTATTTAGTTGCGAAGTTGCTCAACAATGATATCGGTATCAGTGTGCTCTGCACACACTTTTTTTGCTGAAACTAGTTCTGACACGTCACCCAATAAGGTCCAGCTCAGTCTTATTACTTCAGAATGCAGTTTTTTATAGTTCATTTGAAAATAGTGGGACATTGTTGTTGATCTCGCTTCTCATAGACTTGGAAAAGGCACTTTGTATTACCCACTATGATTATTTACATTCAAAATTGTCATTCCTAGAACTTCGCTAAAAAGAGCACATAGTTTTGCGCTTTCAGGGGCGAAAAGTCAACTTTTTGAGAGGTGTCGCTAAATGTTTTTCAAGATGGTAGTTTCTTGCTTCTATATTCTTTACGGCAAATCAACTGTTTCAAATAAGATGGAGCAACTGACCTGCAGCTTAACAAAATTTGGTATCTGTTGAGCCCGAAAGCAAACCAGAATCTGATCTTTCCTTGAGAGAAATATGTACTGTGTTGCTTTGATATGCTATTAATAATGGTAAATCGGCGCTCCGATCATGTGACAATTAAATATCGAAACCCGTTATGGGAGGTGCACGAAACAATCGTCAAATCATATGGCTGCATTACTGTAGCTCTTAGCTTTAGAACACTATCACATGATACTGGAGTATGATTTCAAGCTATCAGGGCAGAAGTGAATCTTCTTACAAGTTCCACAGCATTATCGAAGATGCTGAGGCACAAGTTCGTTCTCAAAAATCTGCGTTTGGTAGAATAAACCACCTCCATTTGTGGCCTTTTTGAAACTTTCGATACGTTAAAGGGTGTCCTAAAAAAGTGTGTACACTGTTGAATAGTTTATAACTTCCTTGTTTTTAGGTCTTTTGCCGAGCTTGAGGTACCATTCTGTAGAGAGAGGTTCAACTTAGATTCGTAGTAAGGAGCGAATTATCAATTGCTCTTCGTTACTGTAAGATCACGGTAGGGACATCGAGGAGGATTTTAAGCCCTTGAAAGCGATACTTTGCCTTAGAAAGAAAGCCAAACAAGCCAGGTTGGTGATTTGCTCCATCCAAGTTGTACCTCCCTCTGCAAAATGGTGCCTTCTGTTTGGCAAAAGGCATGAAAGTAAGAGAATTATCAATCAAACAGTGTGCAAATCTTTTTGGGACACTCTGTATTCGATTGGCAGTAGCATGAAATTCTAGATTAGGCAATACTAAAGTCATTACCAGATCTCAAACTTGATGTTGTACAGTAATTCTGGCTGCTCCTAAATTATGCCGCTTAGGTGCCTTTTCTCTGATGAAAATATGGTTTGATCATTTTAGATCTGAAGGTGATATCAAAACCCGATAATATTGTCAGCCTCGGTCCCAGAGCGTGCAACTATCGAGTTTTGTCCATGGTATAAAGAGAAGAAGAGAAGAGCATAGGGAAGTAGCTTGAGACAATTAAAAAAAAATAAAACGAATTTTTCTTTAGGGGAGGGTGTGTTCAAGGAGGTGAGGAAATCAAAATAGTAGAAAGTTACGACCTGTTTTGGCGAATAATGCTTTTCCTAAGGAGTATTTGACGACAGGCCAAAGGTGAGTTGCTTTCTAGTTAAGGCAAGCTATGTAGTAAAATTGGTGTTTGCGAGTATATAAAGACTGGGGGTAAAGACAAAGGGAAAATTAGGTATCGGAAAGGGTCTGTATGTCTAGCTTTCAAGATTGAACACCGTTTCACCTAAAGGCAGCATCCAACCAAATCTTAGAGTTCCATGTTTTGACGTTCTAAGCCCTTTCGTGGCCCTGATTACAGATAGATTACAGATATGAAGTGATGTGAAGACCCCTTCCCCACTCCCCACCTCCTCCCCCCCCCTCAAAAATAAACTCGATCTTTGGAAGCCCTACCCTGAAGGCACAGTAGACTTTCAGTATCTGGGTGGGCGGAGTTTGATAGGGCGGCGTGACTTGACACCACTTTCGCTGGTTCCAGGCCCATTTTTCTTTTCGGAAGCCACACCATAGAACCGGACCAACGCAGATGTCCTAACAAATGGTGTGAGACCAAATTTAGTCTTGTACTGTGCCAGAGTTCTTCTTATTAGTACCACCATTCGCATGCCTCTCGCACCTTTGCGCCACCTTTGGCGTGTTTTCCTGAAAAGTGCAAACTCGATGCTTCTGCGCCGACGAACCAGTGGCATTAGATGGCAACATGCGGTGCTTCTGGGACACAGGGGGTCAGTCTATACGGAGTGTCCCAAAGATGTGCTTACTTGATTGTTAGTAACTCTCTTCTCATGAAATCTTTTGAGGATGTTTAGGTACCATTTTGTAGAGCTGGCTTCAATTGAGATTTACAGTATGGAGCAAAGTACCGATCTCTCTTCATTACTGCAGGATGATTACGGTAGTAAGTTGCAACATATGACGCCACGGATTTCGTGCATGCTGATTTCACTAAATAACTTTTGTGCGTTCGCAGAGCTTTTTAAATGGCGTATTCCAATTTTTGGCAAATAGCAGAAAACGGTTGTTACGGATCTGGCATAATTACGAAAAAAAACGTTACGGTAAGGTACGAGTTTCTGAAATCAGCGACTCCGACTAACCAGCGTAGGAGTTTTCAGCGTCTTCTGTTCTTATTTGGGGTAAAAATAAACCCTCCAAAGCCAAAAACTCTTCAAAGTTCCTACAGTAATTCTAAAGCAATAAAGAGAGATCGGTAATAGCTCCATACTTTAAATCTAAGCTTGGTACCTAGACGTCCTCGAAAGATTTCATGAGAATATAATTAACAATCAAACAGTAGGCACATCTTTTTGGGACACCCTGTATGTATGCGCGTAAGGGATATCGAATTAGAAGTGGAGAATGAAAACTTACATGGATGAAGGGCATCAAACGTCTGCCTTTCAAATGAGTGGCAAAGGCCATCCGAGGAGGCACAAAAACAAGTCAAAACATTCTTTAGCTCAAGCACCAACTACTATCACTCTAGCGCGAGAGACGGAATTTTGCACAATTAAGCCACCTCGCTTGAGTCGGCTTTAACCGTTTCGGACCGCGAAATCGCGCGCGGCGAAAAAGAGGGCTTCAGACGTTAGCCAACATAGGGACCTTATTTCGTAGACTGTGTGCTACATCAGTATCAGCTACTCAGATAAGCTCCATACCCAAAGTTCTGAGTGAATTCCAAGTGTTTGAATTTTGTCGTTTGAGAAGGACTTTGGGCTTTCTTGAAAGATAGGAACAAGAACTCAGTTTCTAATTGTATCCAAAACTATCTATGTTGTGCACGCTACACATCACTATTGAAACTACGGTTTTTCTCTTTGAAATCGAAGCAAAGAAAGGTTGCGACGTCGCACGCGTCGTTGCGTTGCCGCAT